CCTGACATACAAAGTCTAATCAGAACGCCATATAAAAGAGCTTTACTATCAATGCATCTTGATTTCTCTGTAAACTGCCACAATGACAAATGCTGATACCGTTTCTGTGAACTTTGGCATGTGTCTGAACAACTTTTTCTCACTCTCTTGTCAAGAGAATAGATAATAGTTTCTATCTTTTGTATTCTTTCTCTCTCTCTCTTGTTTGTACGTATATAGCTGTAAGTCATCACACAACATACTTTTATCTACTTAGACAAAGACACGTGACACAAACAAATGCAAACTTCTAACTTTGCATGCATACTCCTAAAAGCAACATGAAATGTTAATAAGAGACTTAAAACAAAAATCAAACAAAATATAGTGAGTAAAGCCCTTCACTTCCTCAAACTTTTACAACCTCCCTTAAGGGCTCTCATGTCAGCGTTTTAAGCTCTAATCAAATGCATATTAGCTGTGCGAGTTGGTCAAAGCCAGACCAGGGATTACCACACACAAAAGTCTGGGGCTACCTTGTTAAATTTGGGAAAACACACAGAGAAAATGAAAGCCTTGCGATCTAATTTCCGTTACATTACCGGCAAACAAACAGGGCCGGCATGGCAAGAGATTAGAGGGGATTATGGGAAGAAAAGGAACGAGGAAAAAGCCTTTGCTTTCTATTCAGTGCTTCCACCAATTCTGCTTCAATCCTGATCCAGTCCCCCTGAAATTAGGCCCGGGGGACAAAGACGGACATGAAAGGATTGGAATGGGGTGACCGGGGTGGGGGTGACTCTAACTGTGAAGAGCAGAGGGACCCCTGGAGATGGCCGAACAGAAGAGGGGAGGCCGGGAAGGGACCTGTTATTTAAATAATGCCCTCAGTTCATTCTTTCTTCTGAGCATGCCAAAAAATAAAAAGTGACAAAATGTGGGCATTACAGAAGATTTGCAAAAGAGCATATTTTCAAAATCAAGTAGTTAGTGGGTTAGGAAGTAGGGAAGCACTTGGTTCAGGGTTGTGTCCACTAGACACATGGTTGTTAAGCATGATATACATTGGAATCATATAGGTTATTGGGCAATATTTGGGATTTTTATTTATTGGTATGAATCAATAGTGTATATTTCTCAAGCTGATGTTGTACATTTAATTGTTCATGCTCATTTCTCCTATTTTTACATTAATCTGTAAAACATTATTAATTTAACATCACTGTTAATGTCACATGTATGTTCGGTTCTGTTTTGTTTTTTGTTCTAGTTTTCCTTGTTCCTGTGTTTCACCCAATTTCTTTTTTTTTCCATTTTTCCCCACCACTGGTTAGTTTTTATGGTTTCAGATTAGTTCACACCTGTTTCTGTTCACCTTGATTAGTTCTCTGCATATTTAAACCCTGTGTTTGGTTCAGTTCAGTTGTCTGTTATTGTTGCGTTCTACTTGGTTGTTCTGTCCTGTTTTTCATGCATCCTGAGTTTCGGTTAATACATTTTACTACTGCTGCAAATAGATCCTGCTTCTACTACTTTTGCAATCAGCTGTGGCAGTTAAATCTTTAGCAAATCTAAAAAATTAATATACATTTTTCAAAGTGTATATTATATTTAGGCACATGTTTGATGCCTAAATTCACTTGAAGCATAGTATTAAATAAAAAAAATCACAGACAAGGCTTAAGCCTAATCCCAGACTAAAGTCTAAATCTGAGCTGTTTCAACTGAAAGAAACTTAATCTGACTGATCTTAATATATATCAGTGCGTTTATTTTGTCTCAAAATGCACACCAGTAACGGTTTTTCTAAGGCATGTTTATACAAATTACTTAAATGTCCTAATTGAACTATGGCCTAATCCTGGCTTAGTCTAAACCCTGTCTGTGAAACCAGGCCATTAAATATTAAACAAATTTTAAATGTTTGATTTTTGTTCATTTATTTACAGTATAGAAACTATTTCTACACTTTTTTATAAACAGTATATCGATATCAGTTTATCATTATAGGTCAAATTTTTGTGCATCCCTAATGATAAATATTACCAAATAAATTACTTTAAAAACAAAACAATATACACTACCGTTCAAAAGTTTGGTGTCAGTCTTTTTTTTTTTTTTTTACATAAATTAACACTTTTATTCAGCAAGGATGCATTACATTGATCAGAAGTCACCTTTATTTATATAGCACTTTATACAATACAGATTGTGTCAGCTTTACAGTATTAAACAGGAAAATAGTTTGTCGATTATGTAGGAGGGCAATTGTAAACAGTCAATTTTTCAGTTAGAGCGTCCAGAATCAGTCCAGCTCAGTTCAGATCAAATAGTAATCAAGCTGACAATTTTGCCAGAAATTAAGTGTCCCCAACTAAGCAAGCCAAAGGTGACAGTGGCAAAGAACCAAAACTCCCATCGGTGACAGAAATAGAGAAAAAAAAAAACCTTGGGAGAAACCAGGCTCAGTCGGGGGGCCAGTTCTCCTCTGGCCAGATGAAACCAGCATGTCAAAGTAAAGACATGTATAACATTATGAAATATTTTTTATTTCAAATAAATGCTATTCTTTTGAATGGTCTATTCATCAAAGAATCCTGAAAAAATGTATCACAATTTCCACAAAAATATTTTGAGCAGTAGTGTAGCTAGACTAGTGAACCTCACAAGTCGGTTGTTGGGTGACTTATCAACCATCTTTAACAGAAACCAGCCAACCAGAGCTCTCAACTGCACCAAACTCCATTAGTTATTACATGTTCTTGTTTATCCACCGCTCTGCTTAAATATATATGTTCTAACTTGCAGCATGGACGTCTAAAGTATTAGATACATACATTTCACAATATGAGGACCAAATACAAAGCCAGCCAAACTACATTTGTAGCTATCTAATTTTCCAGGAGAAGATCCATTAAGTCTTAACAAATATATCCACACTAGGTTGGCACTCACCCTTGCGTCTCCATTGCTTGGCCGAGCTCCATGACTGAAGGCATGCGCTGGATCTTTGTGGTACACTTTCAGGCAGGAGTGATCTGTGATGCTCCTGTGTTGGGAGAAATCCACATCGGTTACATATACAGACCAAATGTCTCCATCCGAATGCGGTCGTGCACGGTGCATTGAAGGTCGGCCCCTCAGCTCTGCCACAACAGGGTGCACTAGGGCTGACGAGATGTCAACACGTGAGAGCGGAGAGTGACAGCGAGAAAGGTCAAAGGAATCACGAGAATAAAGCGATTCACTGAGAGACACAGGTGAGTCGGGGCGAGAAACTGGAGATGGAGGTGTGAAGCTACGGCTTTCTGAAACAAGATCCATGGTGGATGTCTGCGATGTCCATTAATGTCCAGACTATAATTCTCTGTAGGTCCAAGAATGATTTACTAATACAGTATTGAGCTAAAACATTAACTGTCTACAAAGTAACCATGTTTGTCTATGAATGTTTGTAAGTCTCTGTCTACCTGGATCGCTCATAATGTGTTTGCGTGTGAAACCTAATTGTGCAAAGTGACGTGAGCATTTTTCTTATGAAGTCTGATATGTGGTCATGTGGCTGTAATTCAGATTTACAGCCTTGATAAAAAAGAGTTGTATCAAAGTACAAGTTACATCACCATGGTAATGTAAGGAGATGAACTGATCCTCTGTCTACACAGGACAATATGCGTATGAGTCAATATTTATAGTCTCATTAGATCTGAGGAAAAAAAGTAAATGATTAAATTTGACTTTGATTGGTCAGTTCTGTAAAGAAGACACCATGAAATTGTTTGACGGTCACATGATTCTTTCCTATATTGACTTATTTCCTGCTGAAACAATCAATCTAGGTAAATTGAACAAGTTTTGGGTGGGTAAGTTTTTTTTTATACTTTACTCAGCAAGGATGCATTAAATTAAGTGACAAAAAGTAACATTACAAACATTTACAATGTTACAAATGATTTATATATTAAGTAAATGCTGTTCTTTTGAACTTCCTATTCACCAAAGAAGATCATTCATCATGGTTTCCACACAAAAAAGCTGCGGTTTCCAGTTATTTTAAATTTTAAAATTTCACAATATTACTGTTTTCACCTTATGTTTGATTAAATAAAAGCAGCCATGGTGAGAATAAAATAATATTACCAACCCCAAACTTTTGAACGGTAGTGTATATCTGCTAGAAGTTAATTTTGTCAATTTTTAGCAGCGTACTGGCATCCAGACAGCTAACAGACATTGACTAAAAGTCACAAAACTCCAGTTCTCATTACATGGGGTCTTTTAAAGGTGATTCCCAAATGAGAAATATGTAAAGAGATACGGTAAGGAAAGCAATGTACACATAAATGTTTGGAGACTGAGGGTGGAGGGAAAGACAAAAGACCCGAGAATGAGAGTGAAAGACATGTGGGAGTGTTTGTTTGAAGTGTGACATTAAGTGGTGTGTTAACATTAGCTGTGCTGGTGGGAGATGTATAGACATTCGGGTTTATTGGTTTAATGTCAGAGAAACAAATGCTGTGTGGTATTTTAAAGTCTGAGACTGTAATTCTGTTCAGATGCAACCTAAATATAATGTTCTGTTCATGTGTTTGGCATATTTATAGTCTAGATTGTTTCAAATAAATATTACTGAAGATTTTCACACCTATAGTTCCATATTACAGTAATAATTCACCCCAAAAATGAAAAGTCTGTCATAATTTATTCACTGTCATTCCGTTCAAACCCATATCAATGTCTTAGTTTCACAAATAAGATTTGAGAGCCATAACAGCGAGCATTTTCAGCAAATAACAACTTAAATTTCAATGTGTTCTTCACATAAAGCTATCATATGACTTCAGAAGATTTGGAATATAATGCACAAGTGGTATGGTATGGACTACTTTTATGACACATTTAGGTTTCTTTTGTTGTTTTGTCTTTTAATTTGGAAGAAAACAGCATGAACATTCTGCTAAATATCTCATTTTATATTCCACAGTAGAAAGAAAGTCTTACAGGCTGAAGAAGGTCACTTCCTATGTCACAGAACTAGAGGAAGCAGGCCTTGTGGAATGAGGAAGGAAGATAGCAAGCTGTTGAAACTTTATGGAGGCTGAAGCTGAAACACACACACACATACACACACTCACCTGACATCAGTGAGTTCATAGTACACGTTTCTAGTCTCATCTTTCACATAGATGGCGGTGCTGGGCGACTCCAGCATCTTCATGTTGAGCTGATGAGTGAAGGCACTAACGAACAGAGCTCTGATTGTATCCACACTTGTTATCTCATTAGGCATGCGTATCTGCTTTGTGTCATCTCCATACTGCAGATACAATACTCCTGAAAAAACAGAGAGAGGAAACATGAAGAAACAGGGTGTGAAAAGTTCAAGAGCATGCAACTACTTGCAACTATGCAACTAAAATTCTGTAGCATTTTGTCTTAATAAATTTAAAATACAACACATCAAACTAAAATCTTTTCAAATGAGTTTAGGCATCATGTACAGTATGAAAAATGCTAAAAATGACATTTAACAGTGTTATTAAGATAATAAAACGTGTGCAATATTGGACGATATCTGATATGTCACTGATACATCATGCATTTCTACACATCGATTAGTCAGTTATCTCTTCCTCCATGATACTCTATGAGGGATCCACTCAGTTGCATGTGTGGCTGTGTAAAATCTGGTGGGAAGAGCATGTGGGTGAAAGAAAGCAGTAGGGTGTTGTAGAATGTTCTGGGACGGATGGAGGGAGTTCTATGTTTGTCATGTGTTCACAAGGGACTATAGGAAAGCATATATGTGAAACGTGTAGTTCCATGTTGGCTTGGTAGGTGAGACAGCAGTGTGTGCTTGTGCAAATGTTTGTTGTGTGTGTTGCAAAGAACACAAAACATACATTTTAGTTTGAAAACAGATTCTAGGATGCTATGAAAAAAAAAATGAGCACAATATCATTTTACATTATAATTCGACAGATAGACATTAGATAGATAGATAGATAGATAGATAGATAGATAGATAGATAGATAGATAGATAGATATAGATAGATAGATAGATAGAAAGATAGATAGATAGATCGAAAAAAACAAACAAAAATCACTTAAAAAAAGTAGTTGAGAAAAACAGACTCCACCAAACTCACACATTCCTAATTGCATCAACTCCTCCTGAATAAAAGATAATGTGAGCATTTGCTGTACTTGTAAAGAAACCATGTTGTTGTCTTGAAAACCAGCCTGCAAACCTCCAGAGGTTACTCCGAAACTGCCAATCAAATAGAAACCAATCACAGAAACGAGATGACAGCTCTCGCTCACCGCATGTATGCAACTTTCACTCCAAAAAACAAACAAAAATCACTTAAAAAAAGTAGTTGAGAAAAACAGACTCCACCAAACTCACACATTCCTAATTGCATCAACTCCTCCTGAATAAAAGATAATGTGAGCATTTGCTGTACTTGTAAATAAACCATGTTGCTGTCTTGAAAACCAGCCTGCAAACCTCCAGAGGTTACTCCGAAACTGCCAATCAAATAGAAACCAATCACAGAAACGAGATGACAGCTCTCGCTCACCGCATGTATGCAACTTTCACTCCTTCAAGTGCTACATTTCCTCTCCATTCAATCATACATGTAGCCAAACCAGATCTGCAAGTTGATTATAGAAAGCATGTTGGATGCTTATACTCTGGTGAAGAAAAGCATCACTTTTTAAAGTACAAAAATAAATAAAAACTGTTCCAAAAGGTAGGCAGAAAAAATATGCTGCCTCTAAGAATACTTAATAAATGTCATTTTGAAATTGAATAATTCTGGCTATATAAGCCCAGGGCTCCAGACTAACATTTGAGGCAGTGGCACCAGTGCCACTAAGTTCTACAGATGGTGGCACCAGGAGCAGATTTGGTAGCGCTGGGGGTGGTGTGCGGGAGTATTAAAATATAGATCATTTAATCATAAAATTACTATTGTTTTGCATTAATAAATGCAGTTACTAATAATAATACATGTTCATTTCTTGTTTATTTTTCTAATGTTTATAGTTTATACAGATTTGACAGTAAAGCACTAAGCTTGAGTTAAGATGCATACAAATTTACTTTTATTAACAACAGTAATAGGTGCAAAATCTAATAAATCTAATTTTAGCCAAATCTAAAATGTATATATTCAACTCTTATTAAATGTACCATTATTCTTCTAGTATATGGAACTGACCAACTTCAGTGATTATGTGTGATTTAGTAGCAAATTGAAGAAAAGTTTGTTTTTCAAGGCACTTTGCGACTTTACTTCATACACAAAAAAGTGTAAAATTCTGACAAAATCTGATTTCTTGATGATTTTATATTTTATAATAGTGATTTTATATAATTTCAAAATATAGAGAAAACGTAGAAATGAATGATTAATAAGCCAATAAGTGCTCCTCTGCTGCCGTACTGGTTATAATTGTGATTTGATGTATTTTTTAAATTTTACGTAAGTGTTTGTTTACCACAAAGTATATTTTGGTAATCCCATTAAAAATAACATTCAAACTGGATCATTTTAGAGCTTTAAAATGCCGGAAATAGCTGTGTGAAATGCTTGAAAGTCATTGAAAAGTGCATGAATTTGTCTCTCAAAAGGTTGTACAAACCCTGAAATGAATGATGTAATGCATTCGATTATTTCTACCACAACACCATGGTTACAGTTAGCGTTACCGCTTCTGGTTTCCTGATGTATGTCAGCGCTGTTTATAACAGAGAATTTTGTGCAGAATTTGAATGATTCTCACTAGATCTCGCAGCAACCTTATCATTGTGCAGCAAATTCAAACGCTTCTCACTGGATCTCGCAGCACTGTTGCATATGTGCAGTAACAGTGTCGCGAAATCAACTTTGGCTCCCGAGTAA